TCAAGCATAGGGCAAATCCAAATGCTTGTGAATCCTAAATCTTTGATATAACGCAATCGCTTTCTAATACCCGCAATGTCGCCTCCGTGCCTTGCATCTTTATCTTTTCTATTCAGCACAGTGTCTCGCATTGTTGGAATTTTGTCGTTAGATTCATCACCATTAGCGAAACGGTCGGGCGTAATTAAATACATTGCATCAGCTGATGTAAACCCCTTAACATCTTTCATACTAAAGCCTTTAGGCATAATACGGGCAAAAAGTGGGTATTCATAAGTAAAACGAGTAGTACCGTCAGAAAAATTAATCGGCATAGTACCTGCCTCCGCTGTGGATTTAATTTCCAATGTTAAAAAAATATACGCCCCGCGTTCAGATATATTGACCTTTTTTAGCACCACATCTGGATAGGGAATAGAAACTTCAATGGATGCAGCTTCTTCTGCTAATCTTTTTTGTCGGTAAGTCTGCAGCATCGTTTTAATTTTTGTACTTCGCACCAGCAGTTCTACCGTGTTATGCGCCATGTCTATCCACCAATTTGGCGGCTCTATCCGCAAACTATCCTCCGAACTTAACAAACTCACCTTTGTAATAGCAGCTTTTGCTGTGTTAGGTTTTTTAGATTGAGTTCGTGCCTTTACGGGTAAAAAAAGGATAACTGAAATAACTACCGCTACAAAAACCACAATCCTGCAAATTAGAGTAAAACATGCTCTACCTCCATTCACAGATCCAAAAAGAAAAGAAATCTTTGTCATAATGTAAAAATGTTTTGCGTTAATATGTCTTTGCGAAAATACCAAAATAATGGCAAATGATTAATTCCTCGTACAATTTTAATCGTGGGTGAGGTAATTAACATCCTGTAACCACGTTTTACTTCCTGTAGAGACGTTGCATGCAACGTCTCTACCATCCCCACAAAAAAAACCCCCGCCTTTACAGCGGGGATTGAATGATACTATGAATGATAAAACCCCTCAATTCACAAACAACGTGCTACCCACAATCAACCACTCAACCTCCGCACTCGCTCCAACCGCTGCAACAGCAAACTTGTACTCTTTTCCTCGCTCAAATCCTTTCAACATGCCACGATGCGTTGAATGCCAATCCGTTTGCCAACGGCGAGGATCCGCCTCCGCACTATTCGCAAGCGTGGACGAAATCAAATACCCAAAACATCCATCCATCGCTTCCAAATCAAACTCAATACTCCCCGACACCGCTCCATTCTTAAACACCGCTTTTTGCAACGGGGGTAATGGTCCGTACTTTGTATGGCTTTTCGCCATCGGATAACCCGACTTCTCTAATATCACCTCATCACCATTTGCTAACTCATTCACATAATTGCCATTTTTTTGCAACGATTCTTCCAACGCTTTGCGGGTTTGATGAATTTCACCCGTTTTGCCAGCATGTGCCGAACTATCAAGCGCCTTAGCATAATCGTCTCGCTCTGCTTTGACTTGAACCAATGACACAGGTGAATTCGGGAAAAGTCCCGCATTTGCCGTCATCGTATCAATAATCTTTCCAGCAGCATGCAGAAAACGTTCCTCCGATTCTCTACCAAAAAAAGTAATAATTTTTTCTCTATACATAAATCAAAAATTTTAACTGTTAATGAAATAATAAAAACCCAAAACTCCTCTGCGCTCGCTCAAAACTCCTCTGCGCTCGCTCAAAACTCCTCTGCGCTCGCTCAAAACTCCTCTGCGCTCGCTCAAAACTCCTCTGCGCTCGCTCAAAACTCCTCTGCGCTCGCTCAAAACTCCTCTGCGCTCGCTCAAAACTCCTCTGCGCTCGCTCAAAACTCCTCTGCGCTCGCTCAAAACACCTCTGCGCTCGCTCAAAACTCCTCTGCGCTCGCTCAAAACTCCTCTGCGCTCGCTCAAAATCTCATTGCTAAACAGAAAAACCATTTTACTTCTAACCATTGACGTTTTTTCTTTCCCAAAAAAAAGACCAAACACGCTTGTTTGGTCTGTTGCGGTGTTAGTTGTGATATGGGTTAGTAGCATAGTCTGAAGTAGTTGATACTTTGTTCATCAACCACTGATGAATTAGTACAAAGATAAAATGTTTGGTTGGAATGAGTGGAATTTTTTTGGAGAGTACCCATTCGGTCAAGTAAATCAAGGTTTAGACTACGGTTGTACATGATTATTGTAGGTGGTCAATTTTAATTTCGCTTTCAATTTCTTCGTAATCGGGTGGAATAGCAACGTTCAGAGCGTGAGAGAGAGTAGGATTGTATGCCTTTTTTCTGTTTTTATCGGAAACTGCTCTTATGTGTGGCAAAGTGGTTAATCCATTTTTTAAGTATTCTGCGGTCATTTCTCCTGCTTCGTAACCCCAAAGATAGATATCAGGACCTGATGCGATAGTGGCGCCACGTTTAACCAATCCAATTTCTGAAGTTACAATAGGGACTTTTTTTAGATAGGTTAGTTTGACAATGTTTTCGAATGTAGAAAAAACAGTGTTATCGGGTAGTGCGAAAAAGATTTCTATTCCTTGGGAGAGTAAAGATTCGACGGCTTGTTGTATTTCATTTGAATTAGTAACGGCACGTTCAAAGAGTGTAAAATTTTCTGATTGACACAAGTTTCGTAGTCGAGCAATAGCATTTTGAGAATTTGGCTCGGAGGTATTAAACACGGTGCCCATTCTCACAGCAGCAGGAAAGACGTTTCTTACGTTGCGTAGGTTTTTATCTATGTAGGTGAGCGTATCATATACACCCGATAAATTAGATTGAATGTATGGTTGTCCGTCTTTTTCTCTGACTAAATTAATGAGTGCAGGTGCGGGTGCGGTCATAACAAAGATGGGAATATCCGTTGTTTTAGATGCTGCGGTAAGCATTGACAGTGTGGCGTTTGCGGCAATAGCGGTTACACGTTCTGCAATAAAGAAGTCTATAATTTGATTGAGTGTTGGTATATCATTTTGTGCATTTCTGTAGATGAATTTGATTGAACCGTTTTTTTCGGAAAAGCCGTTATCCGCAAGGGCATCTATGTACCCTTTTCGTGCTTTGTCTAAGGTAGCGTCTTCCGTAGGTTGAACGATTCCTATCACGTGGGTAGTGTTCTTTGGTTTACAATTTATTATTGCGAAAAGAGGTGGAATAAAACTACTTAGTAAGAGTATCCACTTTATTTTATTTTTTTGTAGCATGGTCGGAAAGAGGGTCAAAAGTTTATGGCTTCTCCGTCTGCTGCGGCGGCGGCTTCTTTAATACATTCTGAGATGGTAGGATGAGCGTGAATGGTTTTATGGATCCAGTCTGACGTTGCCTCCATTTTCTTAGCTAAACATAGTTCGGCAATAATTTCTGTTGCTTCATCTCCAATAATATGAGCGCCAAGGAGTTCGCCGTATTTTTTATTGAATATCAGTTTGATAAAACCTTCAGTATGCCCTGCTGCATTAGCTTTGCCTGAAGCTTTAAAGGGGAACTTTCCGATTTTATGTCGAAGCCTTTTTCTTTTGCTTTTTTTTCTGTCAATCCGACGTGAGCCACTGAAGGTTGGCAATAAGTGCAAGCGGGTATTTCGGTGTCCTCGATTGGAGTTACGTTTAACCCTGCAATATGTTCGATGCAGCGGATACCTTCGCTGGAAGCTTTATGAGCAAGCAGTGCTCCGCCTGCAACGTCGCCGATAGCACAGATGCCCTTTACATTTGTTTCACCAAAGCCGTTTGTAACAATAAACCCTTTTTCGGACTTAACACCTGCATCTTCTAAACCTATTCCTGCGATATTTCCTATAAGTCCCACAGCGACTAAAACATAATCAGCTTGAATTTTGTTTGGTTTTCCGTCAGGCAAAGTTAGATTAAGGTCTACTTTGTTTTTGTTTCGTGTTACGGTTTCGACCTTCGTTCCTGTGAGGATGTCTATTCCTCTGCCTTTGAATGATTTTTCTAATGCTAATGAAATGTCTTCATCTTCGTTTGGAAGGATATGTTTCATAAATTCTATCAAAACGACCTTTGAACCGAGTGCGTTGTAGAAGTAAGAAAATTCTACTCCAATAGCACCAGCCCCGATGATAGCAATTGTTTCTGGTTTGTCTTTTAGGAGGAGTGCTTCATAGCTTGTTATGATTCTTTCACGGTCTATTTTAATATTGGGAATTTCTTTTGCCTTTGTTCCAGTTGCTAAAACGATATTCAAGGCTGTTATGGTTTCTATTTTTCCGTCTTGTTCTATTTGTAGAGTATTAGGAGTACGAGTGAGCTTAGCAAATCCTTTTTTCACAGTGACACTATTTTTTTTCATCAGAAACTCTACGCCTTTTGCCATAACGGAAGCGACACTTCTACTTCTGTCAATAATTTTCGTTAAATCTATTTTCACATTGGATAAAGAAATTCCGTATGTCGCAGCGTCATTGATTGTATGGATGATTTCTGCGTTTTTCAAAAGAGATTTAGTTGGAATGCACCCCCAATTCAAGCACACGCCTCCGAGGGCAGCTTCTTTTTCTACTAAACACGTTTTAAGACCTAATTGAGATGATCTAATTGCTGCTTCATACCCCCCTGGACCTGAACCCACAATAACGACATCAAAATCATAGTGGTGCTGCACAGGAGTGGCTTTATATTTTGACATATTTTCTACTTTTTTGATTATATGATTACTCATTACGAGGGCTAATTTACAAAAATTGGCTTGCCTTTTTACTTATTATTTGTTATTTCTCATTGTTTTTTCATTTTCTTAATTTTATACAATTTCATTCCATTATTAGTTTTAACTTCGCAATCGTAAGAACGAGCGAGGCAAGATTGGATAATTGGATAATTGGATAATTGGATAATTGGATAATTGGATAATTGGATAATTGGATAATTGGATAATTGGATAATTGGATAATTGGATAATTGGATAATTGGATAATTGGATAATTGGATAATTGGATAATTGGATAATTGGATAAATAAAAGCGTGGAATAGGACAAATAAAATGGTTAAAGCGTCCGTAGCTCAATGGATAGAGCATTAGTCTTCGGAACTAAGGGTTAGGGGTTCGAGTCCCTTCGGGCGCACGGTTAGTTTATTTATATTTTGTGAATCAAAGACTTTTCTTTTTTTTTACTTCGAAGCTTCCGCGTCTTCTTGGGGCGTTTGCCTTTTCCGTTATTGTTTGGATTATCATATATATGTCTCTATCCAACGTGCTTACTGTAACACTTCCTGTTGCCGTCAAATCTAATTCTAATTACTCACCTTTAAGCGTCTCACCCAATCATATTTCTGTTACTGTTACGGGGAGCGGTTGGGAGTTGGTTAAATTTTACATTTCGGAGGCTAAAATAACAATCAAATTAGAGGACGAGCGTTCAAAATTTCCATCCGAGAACACATTGTTTTTTGCACAGAATCTTTCGCATTATTTAGAGTTCCCGAAGTACATTGAAGTTACGCCTGTTAAGTTTTCACCCTCTTCAATACAGTACTCACTTCGTCCGAGATTTTCCAAAATTGTTCCCATTCGGCTTCGTGCGTTACCCACTGTTGAATCAGGATTTACATTTACGTCTATCCCACGTTTTGAGCCTGATAGTGTGACGATTGTAGGTGCAGTAGATTTAGTACAACCTATTAGTCATTGGGATATAGATGTATCAGACCGCAAACTTAAATCGGGTGAGTTTTTTTTTCCGGTTTCTTTAACAAAAAATACAAGTTCCTTAATTGAGATTTTTCCTCAAACATCTAACATATATGGACATATAGAAACATTAACAGAAATTGCCTTTAATCAGGTTTCGGTACAAGTGTATTCATTAGAAGATCGGACGAAAGTACAACTTATTCCTGATAAACTATCCGTTGCGCTTATCGGACCTGCATCTAAATTAGCTTCTCTGACGCAGGATAGTATTCGTGCGTTTGTCGAGTATAAAGATTTAATTTCCGACACCACAGGTTCTATCATTCCTAAGATTGAGCATCCCCCTTATGTTAGCGTAAAAATGTTGCAGCCCAAAACACTAAAATACATTATACAAAATTAGCCCCCTAATGCTACGCTTAATGTTGCACCAAACCGATGTTCATCGGACCCATAGGAGCTCACACTCTCTGTGCTTGGCAAAATTTTTGTCCATTTCCAGTATGTGTTAATATTGATTTTATTATTCAGGGCATAGCCAATATTCAAATCGACTACATAAGAGGTTGTTTTTGTTTTTGTTTCGGTTCGTCCTGATGCAAGGAAAACGTGGTCTATTTTTTCAGCTTCGGTCATAGTAAAACCTACTTGAAATGTTAAGGCATTAGATAGTTTAATATTTTTGAAAATCCAAAAGTTAAGCGGAATGTCCAGTCCGACAACACTATAGGAAATGTTAGCACTAATGTTTGTCGTTTTTTTTTCTGCAAGTGTTGAATTGTTCGCATAGTTCACAGAGAGGGTTCGAGAATTTCCGTAACTCACGGAGGTTCGCAAATTAAAGTTCCATGTGAAATTAGCTTCAATTAACGGAGCGAAGGATTCACTTAACAGAGTTGAATTGACAAACACAGTATCGCGTAGTACGTCATAGCCTACAGATAATTTGTTTGTGTATGAATGCCGTAATGTAACATCCCTAAACACGGAGGAAAGCAGTGGAAGTTGTCCTAATCCGGAAAGGGTTATTGTCCAATTTGGCAATGGCAAGTATTTCAAAATATCGTCGTCTATTTGGAATATCTCTTTTGCACCCAAACTTGAAGTAAGCATCGCCTTAGTAAAATCATTAGATAATTTTTCACTTTTACTTTTATTCGTTTGATTTTTTTTCCAGAAAGAGTTTTTCAAAATCTTCTATTCCACGGCCAATGGAAAGATATGTTCTATCTATTTTAGTTGCACTTTGTAAGTACGTGGTTTCCCCATTTGCGGCGTTAAACCTTTCTGTTCGAGTAGAACTTACTCTTGTTTCCCATCTTAAATTAATAGTAAGAAATGAAAATGGTTTCCAGTCTCCATTAATCATGATCTCATTTGTAAAAGTAGAAAGGTCGGTGAACTCTAATTTTTGTCCTGCTTGAATAGCATTTGCAAACGTTCCTCTTTTTCCTGGGTTATTTTCAAATGCGAGTTGATAAGCAAGTGAGGGGGCTTCGACGGCGGAGGGGTCACGGAGATAATTAAATGGAAAAAAATTCAAATATCCTGGGTCGCTATTTGAAGGCAATCCATTTGAATTAAAAGCTCTTGTATGCTTAAAACTTACAGTAAATCTTTCGAAAGCCAATGGAATTTTTATAAGTTCGCCAATCGTGTAGAGGATAAAGATTCCTGCATTTGTAGAAGTATCTTTTAGGATCTTATCTATATTGGAAAAACTTTTCGCAAGGTACGCTTCCTTTTTACCAAATAAGCCTGCCAATTCTCCTAAAAATCTTGATACCTCCAAATTAGTTACAGCGCTAAATGTTCCGTTAGTTGCAGCACGATTGCCGGTATGTAGTTTTGGATCTACATCAACTTGCGCATTTTCCCACGAATAATTAGCACTATAATCCAGCCGAGTACCGGAAAGCCATAAAAAAACAGGCATATTTAAAATATAAGGTTCCCAAGACATTTGAACATTTTGGGAAAATCTCTTATCTTTTCCAAATGAAAACCTTCCTATTTCAGATATAGCCCGTTCGTAGAGCGTGGGCTCATCAACATGTTTTTTTACTGTTTGCGATTCATAAAGCAAACCGTTTAAACTTGCTTCATTAGCACTGCTGTAAGAAAATCTAATATTGCTTGTTACATCAAATGTCATTGAAAAGTCCCTTTTACTCATAAAAGACGTTGTGGGTTCTGGTTCAACTGTATTTCGGTTCTTTCTGTGAGAAAAGCTGCGGTCGTAACTCAAAGACCATGTCATAGAAGCAGGAAGAAAATTGAAGGAAAGATTCCGATATACATTAAGGAAGGGAATGTTTTCTAAAAAAGCAAATGGCGTAACTCTCCCCGTAGGAAAAATGATTTGGTAGCTCCCTCTTAAATTCCATCTCCAATTTCTATTAAATTCTTCTACTGGAGACTTTGAAATTGTATTATCCCAATTAAAATCCAATCGTATGCCGTCTATGGTGTATTGCCAAAGCCAAAAATTGGAGCGTTTTTTTGAAATTGAAACTCTTGCACTATTTGTACTCTGTTCAGTTTGGGAGTCATTAATTATCTGTTTTTTGTAATTTTCAACATTTTCAATTGTTCCCCCCGCTTCCAACGAGTCTTCGGCAAGTCTTTCAACGGCTTTAGTTAACAAAACATCCTGCTGTGACGGAAAGTACTTTGGACTTGAATAAATCTCGGAATGACTGTAAGACAATGGAATATCCCATGAATTATCTATAGGAATAAACTTTCCTAAATTCAAGTTACTATTCATACTCCATGCAATTTGCTCGGTTTGTTGTCCGAGCGGATTCACACGAACATCCAATCTATGAAAATCTGCGGTTGAATAACTAACATTCCCGGATACGCTCAACAAGTCTCCTAAAGTAAAGTTCACAGTTGCCCGAGTAGAAATTCCTTGCTCTTGAATGTATCCAGCAACGCGCAATTCATTCACCCAAATTTCAGCCTCTTCTAATTCCTTGCTTGTTTTACCATTTAAGATTCCAAGTACAATAACATTAATATTTGCAATTGAGGGAGATCCTTTCATGATTATTTTTTTTCCATTTCCTAGTTCAAGTATTTTTATTTCCGTTGCAGTTTTTCTTTTTTTGAGTTTTAACGCAGTCAGATCTTGTATAGTCACATCCATATTATTTCTTGCGAGCCAGTAAGCGTCGGGTGTTCGGTTATTTAGAGATGAGGGAATGATAGTACTTCTATATTCAAAATAATTTTGCGTGTCATCTATACCAAAACGGGCAAAAAACTGTGTATTATTAAGTGTATCTTCAACATTTCCATTGTAATTAATTTTACCTTCTGTAGCACGAACATAAGCACGAATATTTTTGTAATAGTTTAGATTTAATCCTTGTCCAAACCGCCGTTCTATCATTCGTAATTCACCCGCTTTCACTCTTTTTCCCGTAATTACGATTGAGCGTTCGTTCTGGATCAACGAACCCCCAGTAGTTGATATTCTAATATCTTCTTTAATATTTGGTGGTGAAACGTAAATATCACTATTCTCTTCACGACTAAAACTATTTACAGTAGTCAGCGTATCTGTATTAGGAAAGCGTATCCATTCAGACCCAACGAACTCAAAATTCACAAAAGCTAACCGCACAGGATATTTAAAATGAGTCAGCCACAATCTCGCTTTTTTTATATTCCTAAAATTGCTAATTTGCCCAACTACCATCTTGTAAGAAGTCAAGGGTATTTTAACCTGAATCCAAAACCCCTTAGACGAATTAACGCTTGTCTTAAAGATACTTTCATTTGGCTTTTGCTTATTTGACAAAAGGGTTTCATCTATTGGAATTTCATATCTAAAAAACGTATTCTCTCGTGTGATTTTGCTGACGGATTCCAATCCTTCTGTATCGGGGTATCTATTTGAATAAAACAAATACTTGTTGCTTCCAGCTAAACTATTTTTTTCTGTTCCATTTACCATAAATGGAACAACCTTTGGGTTTTCTGATTGCCCAGCATTATCACCAGATGGATCTTCTTCAATTCTTTGATATTCATTGGAGGTTAAGTAAGGTTTTATGGTTTGGAGGTAGTTGCTAAACTTTCTTCTTTCAACATCGTCGCTCATTCCATCGAGTCCAGTATCTTCAACATCCAAAAGTTCTCCATTTATTAATTGAGTACTTTTTGGATAGTAGCTCCAGTTGTCTTCAAACACATCTTGATTAGTTTCAATACCTTGTCTTGTTCGTCCATCCTCTGTATTTAATATACCATTTGGTATGATATCCTCACTGATTCTTCCTAAGTCTAAATACAAGGTTCCCTTTTCAAAGTTTTCGTTTATACGTTCGTTACCATTTTCGTCAATGGGTTCTACTCTCAGCCAAAATTGCACAAATTCAAACTGCTGTTTTTCCAAATCCTCAAATCCCACACTAAAAG